CGGCTTACAAACTCCTTTCCCTTCCCCTCCCCACAACAGACACCCTGTGAGGTAGGTGGGGCTGAGAGAGCTCTTGACAGAAACTGCTCTTTTTCAAGGACAGCTCTTATCAGAACTATGGCTTGCCCAAGGTCATCCAGCCAGGTGCAAGTGGAGGAGTGGGGAATCAAACCTGGTTCTCCCAGATTAGAGTATGTAGTAGTAGTATTTTTTTAGTAGTAGTATACTTTATTGTCATTGTACATAGTACAACGAAATTGAAGATGCAATCATTTCGGTGATCTACAACAATATTCATATGCACTCACACACCATTCACTACTGTCCCGTAAAGGTTCACATAACAATTTAAAACCACCAATGTCACCCAAATTCCAATTTCATACAGCATTTAAGGCAATAATAGCTCTCGAATAAAAACTATTTTTTAATCTATTTGTCCTTGCTTTAATTTTAATCTATTTGTCCTTGCTTTAATTTGTCCGTGCACTTAATCACGACACTAAGCCATGGGAACTGACCTCCGGCATTTGGAGATCAGTTGTAATTCTGGGGGGTCTCCAGGACCCACCTGGAGACTGGCAACCCCAGCTGTGCGGGCGGACCAAGGCCGGCGGTGAGCAGGGCGCAGATCCAGCAGAACCAGTTCCGGTTGGTGAAGGGATGAGAGAGAGCTGCCAGCCGCTGGCAGGGAGACAGGACCCCCGACTCCCGGGTGGGGGTCTCCGAGAGGGAAGCAGCGCCCAGCCGTTGAGAGCCAGTGGGGATCTCGAACCAGGAGGCCTGGGTTCTCAGGAGTGGGGTGGGGTGGAGCCCTGTGAGCCAGTGCAGAGCGGAGGCCTGGAATCCAGGCTTTTCCTGGGCGTGCCCAGGCCTGCAGGGAGCTCCCCACCCCCCACCCCGTGCTCACATTTGGGTGGCATAGTTTGGTGAGGCATCAGCGGCCCGGTGAGTCCCTCGCCTGGGCCAACGCCCCCAAACAAAGAAGCTGTGGGAGGAGAAAGCCAGCGATTCCAAAGGCCTGGGTTCCCGGGCAAGACAGTGGGAAAGGGGTCAGCCGATCCGAGGCTTTGTCTCCGACAGGCGCCACCGCAAGCACACAGACACATGACAAAAGAACCCGCAACCCAAATACAAACTGGATCCTTCCCCTTGGAGGAGGAGGAGAAGTGGAGATCGGATTTATACCCTGCCCTTCACTACCCGAAGAAGTCTCAGAGTGGCTTACAAACTCCTTTCCCTTCCCCTCCCCACAACAGACACCCTGTGAGGGAGGTGGGGCTGAGAGAGCTCTCTCGAGAACGACCCTTGAGAGAACAGCGCTGAGAGAACTTGTGACTGACCCAAGGTCACACCAGCAGCTGCAAGTGGAGGAGTGGGGAATGAAACCCGGCTCTCCCAGATTAGAGTTCGCACTCCTAACCACTACACCAAACTGGCTCTAGCGGGCAGAAAGTCAACTGGGGAAGCTGCCCCTGTTGAATTTCTGCATTTCCACCAGCAGCTGGAGACGTAAGAATGCAGGGTGGCCAGCTCCAGGTTGGGAACCTCTTGGAGACCTGGGCGATGGAGCCTATTGAGCCAGTCCTCACCAGGGCGATGGAGCCTATTGAGCCAGTCCTCCAAAGCAGCCAATTTCTCCAGGGGAAGTGGTCTCTGCAGTCTGGGGATTCGCCGTAATTCCGGGAGATCTCATTTTGAGGCCCCACCGGGAGGTTGGCGATTTTGGCAAGGCTCCCGGGCCCCTTCCACACACACGCACACACCCTTCAGAGGCTTCCTCCTTCACTGCGGAGCGTGGCCTGCCCAAGCCCCCCTCCTCCTGGGCCCAGCCCTGCACTCAACCGGCAAAGTCCAGACCCTGAGCAAATATTGACAGGCTGCTCAGAGGGAACTCGACACCAGACGCCTGTCCTTTGTTTGGAAGACACTTGAGCGTTTTGAAAAGGTCAGAGAAACACAGGGTTTGGCTCTCTTCTTGGGTTGCCAACTCTGGGCTGGAAGATTCCTGGTTATTTCGGGGAAGCAGCCCAGGAAGGGCGGGGTCTCGGGAGGGGAGGGTCCTCGGTAGAGCACGATGCCGTAGAGTGTCGTCCCCCCCCCCAAGCTGCCGTTTCCTCTAGGGGAACAGATCTCTGTCGCCAGAAGGCCAGTTGGAATTCTGGGAGATCTCCAGGTCCCACCTGGAGGCTGGCAACCCTCGGTCCACCTGTTGCTATCTTTACTACCCCTTTGACCCCATGAATGCCAGGCTCTTCATCCAACTTGGGTGTTTCTAACAGCATTCCAATTCCTTTTAACTGCCCAGAACTCTATGTTAAAGTTTATTTTTTGGTTCAACTGCTTTGATCCAACTTGACCTAAATTCTTATTCTCCATTTCTGTTTGTCACTTTTACAATTCTTTTTTTTTGCAGCCCACCTTAAGTATTCTTTTTGGGGAGGAGGAGGAGGAGGAGATTGGATTTCTATCCCGCCCTTCACTACCCAAAGGAGTCTCAGAGCAGCTTACAAACTCCTTTCCCTCCCCCTCCCCACAACAGATACCCTGTCAGGTAGGCGGGGCTGAGAGAGCTCTCTCCAG